AACACAAGGCATCCCAATCCTAAACTCCTGGTTGCCACACAGCACTAATCAAATGCTCCAGTGCCGCCTGACGGTCAATGCCCGCGAAATCTCAAATTGTCTCAGTGATAGTCTCGCCTGGCCCTGAAATATTTCTATCCGACATAGGCGGGACGATGTCTTTATCATGGCTGGATCGATTGTTCTGGTATGGAATATCAAGAACGTGCTGTTTCTATGTGTACATCTGTATATACATATGTATTCACGTTTATCTCTTCGCTTGTCTCGTTATGTCTCTCTCTCTCTCTCTCTCTCTGTCTCCCGGGCATAGGGGCCGATCAAGGGCCCTGGGCATCAAGCCCACCCGATGTTTTATCGGGCAAAGGGGAGTGACAAGCGAGTGTAGATCGTCATGTGTCTCTCGGGGTCTCTCTCTCTCTCTCTCTCTCTCTCTCTATCTAGCTATCTAGCTATCTAGCTATCTAGCTATCTATCTATCTATATGTGTGTGTATACACACACAGAGTTATGTACAAATACATAGATGTATGTGCATGTACGAACCGACTTACATGCATAGACAATTGGCAGTATGTTCTTCTTGCTCTGTTTTCCGGTGGCCTTGACCAGACCACTTCGCACGCATATCATGTCCGACCAGACGGAAAACGTTTTCGGTCGAACATCACCTGCTGACTTTTGGCGATTCCCGGCTCAATCTCGGACAACAACTTCTTGATGCTATGGTCCATGCAAAGATGCTTTTTGAAAGCACATTCTATTGCGACGACCCTCTCTATCCTGACGATTCTCCCTATACTGATGCTTGGATCGTGCGGGCTAAGACTTGAAAGGACCTGCACCTTCAAAACTGTGACCAATGAACTCAAGCCCCGGACAGGCCGGCGAGTCTGTTGGCTTCATGGCGCTCCGTGGGCGTCAGCAACGCGTTGGTCATCGACTGCAGCAGGCGAAATTAATATAATATAATAATAATAATACAATAATAATAGTAATAACTTAATAATAATTATTATTATTATAGTAGTAATAATAATAATAATAGTAATATATAGTAATAATAATAATAACAATAATAATAATATAATAATAATAATTAAATAAAACAAAATATAATTGCAGGGATCTGCCCTGGGATCGGTGTCAAACGCCTCAACGCCTGAGTATTGCAGCCTCAGGGGAGTAGGGACCCACTTGTGATGGCGATGTCCCTTCTAGGAGTAGGAAGGACCACCGGTTTTATTCTGATGGAACATCTAGCATACCTTCGGCCTTCGACCTGGGTCTCTTTCTCGAAAGGGCGCAGGAGTGCATGGTTTTTGCCAGGGAATCTGGACAGTTTGGTGCAAGTCGGTGCTAGACGAAATATTCCTGCAGGTTGTGGATTTGTTGGTGCATCTTGCTATGCTTCCTAACTTATGGCCTAGAGTCCCGACCACTGACAGGGCCTTGCCATTCACCATGATCCGATCCAGATCAATCCTCGTCTCGCACAACCAATTAAGCCCTCTCTTCACACGTGCCCTCGCCCTCCTATTTTGCGAGATGTCACTCAAGCAGAAGCAGAAGTACCAAGTCGTTTCAGTACCTGGCAGGGGACCGCTGTGATAGTCACAGCGGCAGCTCTTATACTAGGCAGTGGTAGCACCAGTAGTCGCTCAAGCCTTCCTTTCAACTCCGAAAGGACTACAATAGAAGCACGAGCCCTTCCGAGCATACGAAGTGAGCCATCTGAAATAGGAGAGTCCAGGAACCGTCAATCAGCTCTTTGCCAAGTCTCGTGATGATGTCTTGACCAAACTCCGGGTCGTTGGTGAGGTGTGTATTGATGGGACCCTTCGCAGGACGCAGAGTTCGTGTGTGTTCTGCGGCCACAGCTGAGCCGTGCTTCTGAGTCTAGTGGCCTAGTAAGCCGCAGAAGTCTCTGTCTTGTGGGTGCGCAAAGATCCCGAGGAAAACGGGCGCTAAATTGCCAATTACTTCTTCGGGCCTCTGACATGCCAGTCTCGAACGAAGGAGCGCACCGCTGAATCGAACCAGCGATCGGAATAACAGACCAATGCAAAACTGAACAGACACCTGGTATCCGGAAAGACCCGACGTCCTAAATCGGTCAGACCGGGTGATGGGCCTCTAGATCACCATCATACATTGCAGCATAACCGCTAATGACACTACAACTCATTGTTGGTTGTGTTTCGGGTGGTCGCTCTCGCATACCCTGCCGAAATGACAACGGTACTAGTGATGAAGCCCTTGTAATGAAGCCGCTCCTAGAAAGTGGCATTATAGGGCATGCTACTGTAGCGGTCCTTCAAGCAGGGTAGTTGATTTGCTGAAGGTCGACGCCAGCTCGACGCTAGCTATTAAATCCGGGAAACGTGGAACTCCCAAGAACGTGTTGCTGAGCCACGAACCGAGAAGGTCAGCACACTGGAGGTTTGGCCAATGTCAACCTTCCGGCGGGTTCAGACATTATTACAGTCATGCCAAGCGAAGACGCATGCTCGTACATCCACGCTGTTCAGTGTGTTGACGATACGCTTGGTTGAGCCGCAACCTATATCATGGTAGGACCTTAGGATCGTCGTGGAAATCCTGGAATGGGCTGAGACATTGTAGACGGAGCAGCCGTGACTTTGAAGACTAACGACTACCCCCCCAACAGCCCTGACACTAGACCCACCATCCCAGACACAAAAGTAGAAGGCCGGTCTGATTTTGGGATGAGGAGGGGGGGGGGGCCTTTTACCTGCGGAAGAACCCCTAAACCCTAAACCCTCAAACCCTAAACCCCAAAATCCCCTAAACCCTAAACCCTCAAATCCCCTAAACCCTAAACCCTCAAACCCTAAACCCTCAAACCCTAAACCCTGAGGCTCTTGTCAGCTGCTCCTTTGAAGTCCCAGGACCCAAGACCCGGGTTCGCCACATCTGGCCGTTGTGGTAAGCAAGACCCAGAGAACCCAGAACCCCCTTAATCAAGGAATACTCCTTAAACATACAAATTATACTAGGGCCCTTAACATTATGATTTAACGTGTCTTCCTTAATTTTAAGGGGTATTGGCATTGGGCTCTCTGAGGACACCTGAGGGCCCAACACGCTCGACGTAGACCCCGGCGTCGGAGGCGGTCAGCACATTCGTGTCAATGGACTCAGTGACAGCTGCCTGCCTTTGAGCCACGAGGGTTCGAGTGACAACGCAGCATGTATACTGAATACAGGTACACTCAGCAAGGTTGCTCATCCAGCGAGGAGGCCACATCTCTTGCTACCCTCTCTCTTCCAACCGATCCTTTCAGCCTTTACTAGCTACCTCACGGACCCAGTTTTTGTCTGCAAGAAGCACTTATTCTATGCAGTCCTTAGGGATCAGAGCGTCTAAGCCCAGAAGGAAACCAGAGAAGGAGAATTCGCCTGCAGCCATTGCCATCCACGGCAGGGCATCGCACTTTGAAGCCGGTGTAGGAATTCGGGTCGTTGTTGTTGTCTGAGAGCAGCGAACAGCACAACAGAGCATTTCTTCTTTCTTTTCTAGCCTCTACATTCATCAGCTCAAGGCCGTCATCCTGCTGCATAACTTCGCTGCATGTAAACTCTTCTGAATCCAGATTGATAGATTCTGAGCTTTCTGCCGGAGCATGCTGATGTCGCTGGGATGATCCGGATCTTGTCGTTTGGACCTGTCATCATTGATTGGCCTTGAGTGGCGTCACCCAGGCCCATTGCATCTGTTCCGCTGCAGCTGTGGGAGATCGAAGAATCGATGCTTGAAATGCTGGCGTATGCAATAAGAGTGTAAAGCTCGAGGAGACTGGGAAAGATGACTGCAAAGCGATCTACACGCTCGGTACAGCGGCAATTCTGCCAGAGCCGCTGAATCCCCAGCCCTTCAGGTCAAACTTGACGACCTGGCCGGAGGCGCAAGACTGGCTGAAGCCGTTTCTGCAAAGCTGACAAAGACCAGCAGGGTATCGAGACCTATGGCTACCATTGAGAAGATCCTGACGCGCAATCATCGAGCTTCTGGCGACATTTGTGGGGAAGATGAAGCTGCGTCCACCTTCCCAATTGATCAGGAGTTTGCAGAGAAGATCAGGCGGATCTAGCAATCACATGATGGTAGCCAGTCTGAACGCACTTCTTGAACTCATGCTGTTGGCTAGGAGGCCCGTAGAGTGAGGGAACTTGCGGGGTGGGAGGAATAGGTGTCGTTGTCGCGATATCAGTAACAGCGGTGGTAGCATCGGCCACAAAAGCCGCAGCAGAAGGCTTACAGAAGTAGCAACAGGATCTGCTGACAATCAAGCACATGTCCTGCCTTCTGGACCCTGAATAGTCATGAGACCGCCAAAGATCCAGAATGAGGAGCTTTCACACTCATCCTGCTGGTACGAAGAAGCAGAGAACATAATGAAGTCTTGCTTCATGGAAACTGCATCTCATGGCATTCGATGCTCGGTCCTGGGGCGAGACCATAGCGCAGTAGCATACGGCAACGACCTTCGCGGAAGAATGCAGAAGAAGAGTAACAGTGGATGACGGTAGTGGATGGGGATGGTGACGATGGGGAGGGAGAATAACGACATTTAAATCATCTTCTCCCGGTTGTCGCCGTTTGCATTGACGATGGTAGAGGTAGTAGTCGTACTAGTACGAGTGCTAGTACGATTGTAGTAGTAGTTGTTGTTGTTGTTGTAGGCAGCCCTAGTAGTGTTGGAGGATTAGTAGCAGCTGCCGTTGTTGGATGAAAAGAAGCAGACGTCTGCACTTTCGCTGTACACTTGCCTGATAGCTCTTCAGGTTCTTCATGCTACCCGCTTCGGTACAGGTTATGCATTGGTAAACGGCCACACAGAAAGCGACGGATGCAGCACTGGCGAACAGACCTAGTGAGCAAGAAGATGCTTCCGAATATCTGCCAGTAGAACTGTCTGAGTGCAGTGTCCAAGCCTGAGACAAGTTCCAGCTCAAAGAAGTTAAGACCGCTGCGCCAGCTAACTTGATGGTCATCAGGTTGTTTTTATCGTTGCCGCTGAAGGAGAGGTACCTGTCAGGAAGATCGCTTGCACTGAAGCCCCTTGTGCTCCAACCCTTCCGTAAACCCTAAAGCCGCCAAGCCCAAACTCCCAGAACCCTGAAGCCCAACTGGGCCCAAAGCTTGTTGAAAGGTGAAGCAACATCCCAGAAGTTCAGAAATTTTCGCCGGGTCTATGTCTAGGAGTCTACGACCCAGGAAGAATGCACAAGGTCTCTGTGAGGCACTGCGAGATGGTGTTGTCGTTGTTCACGTCCACGTTCGCGATGTAGGCTTTGGCCGACTGATCACAAGCATGATGCCATATGCATGTCGCCTACCTTGCAGCCGCCTCAAAAAACTACAAACATCCGGCCCTGTAGGCAAGTAGCTGGACAATTCCTTACTGAAGGCATTGGCATATCATCTGCAACAGCAGCAGCAACAGCAGCAGGAGCAGCAGCAGCAGGAGCAGCAGCAGCAGCAGGAGCAGCAGCAGCAGCAGGAGCAGCAGCAGCAGCAGCACAGCAGCAGCAGCAACAGCAGCAGCAGCAGCAGCAGAAGCAGCAGCAGCAGCAGCACCACCACCACCACCACCACCACCACCACCACAGAACACCACAGAACACCACAGAACACCAGAAGCAGCACCCGCAGCATGAGCAGCCGTAGCACGAGATCCTCCACGGCAACTGCAACAACAACAACTACTACTACTACTACTACTACTACTACTTACTACTTACTACTTACTACTACTACTACTACTACTACTACTACCACCACTACCACTACCACTACTTCTTCTTCTGCTACTTCTACGTCTACTTCCCCACACGACCACGGAACTCCCACTACCTCTACCAGTGCCCTCACTGCCATCACTAACCCCACCACCACCATCACTGCCACTGCAACTACTACTAGCATCTCTAGGTAACCACTGTACACGATCATTACGACCGCGAGTACGACGAGGAGTTTTACTACCACAGCCAGGCGGAGGACAACCAATCATCTACCAAGACCGTGCCGTCGCACCACGACAGCAATAGCATCAACGAGAACCATAAGTACAACATGCGGTCAAACAAGCAAGCCGACAAACAAACAGACAGACAGACAAACAAAGAAACCTCTAAGCGCACATGCAACAACGCCAAATTACCTCTAACACGGGGTACAAGGAGGGTAAGCTGCAGCTGCACGTGCCTAAAAACATTCGCGCTTGGTGAAAGTTAGACGGAGACGATCAAGTGTTCGGCGCCTGCTTGTCACTTGGTCCGTTGACCAGTGTCAAGGAATACCGCTCCTTCTGGCACTCGGTCTCCATCTGGCATCGTGTTCCCGCGTCCACGCAACTACAGAGAAAACACACAGCAAGCGCAGCGAAGTCAATGCTGCTCAGATTCCAGAATGCTCCAAACATCTGCCGTAGCTCTACCTATCGGTCCACGTCAAGCAACCCAGGCTGAAGTCTGACTCGAGGCCGCAATATCCGCGTCCGCTACCCTGAACCTTCAACTGGTAAGCGTCCCGTCAAAACAGATTATGCTGGTGCAGGTGAGCATTGCTCTATTGGTTTTAAGTCGGGGTTCGCAAACTGTCCTACTGGTGCAGGCCATCCCTGCTGTGCACAACGTGGGGCTATCAAACAGAGGATTGCACCGGGCACGAAGTCTTCTCGAAGTAATCTAATATGTAATGACAACTCTGGGGAGCGGCCTGCTGTTGGAACGTCAGGGGCTGATCGACGTCGTAGCCTCAGCTGTGTCACGGACCAAGAGAAACTTGGGGGAATCTTAGGGTTTATAGGGCTTTGGGTTTAGGCGGTGTAGGTAATGGGCCTCGCCTGGGTCACGCTGGGGCTCCCCGTCCTTAGCCTAATGTACGTCGGCATGAATCACGATGTTCCAGACATGGTGACCTGTAACGACTCTTGGCGTCTCTACTGCTTATATAGGGGCCTTGACAGTTAGAATAGGGTTTTGGGGTATTTTCTACTTTAACTATGATAGGAATGGTATTGGCAATTATTTAGGCCCCTGAATTAGAGCAAGCAGTAAGAGCTGGCAACGGAGAGCTTTTCTGCTCCCCACCTTCAAAATCAAAGTGCAGGTACCATCCTCCAGCCAATGTCCTAAACCCTTACAAGCCTCAGTCGATGAACCACTGCTGTTCAGGTAATCTTACTCCCGAAAGCATCAGCAGAAGCAGCAGCAGACAATCATCGTAGTCAGGGGATCAACATCGGCAGCATGAGAAGAGTCATCAGCATGATCGTCCTGATCATGATGAGCAGCAGCTGCAGAAGACTCAGCACGGGCACCAGCTTAGGCAGTATAAGTAGCATCAGAATCATCATCATCGTTCTCGTCGTAAACATCATCACCACCACCACATCACCATCGTGATCATCACAGAAGTATCGTCTTGTCCTTCATGCTAGAGAGCCGGATCAATCCGTTCATGTCGGAGCCTCGAGTCCCTTTTCAACCCTGCCGCGCCGCAACGTCAAGCCAAAGCCCAACAAACATCCAACTTTAGGGCTTAGGGTTCAGGGTGTAGCAAGTGTAGAAAGCGAGTCAGCGTCAGGCACTCTGCTCACCCGAGCTCGCCGCTGTAGTGCTTCATCAAGCTCTTCTGTGCGGCCCCTACGCCTCAGGATCTGGTGCATCGCTGCAGTCTTGAAACCCATCTGTCTATCCTGTTTGCCAGTCCATCAGGAGGGTGGGGTTACCGAGCTCCTTGCCAAACAACAGCTCGCGGTCGTAGGACATGACATTGATCAAGGCCTCTGCGGACGAAGCTGCATGCAGATGTGCAAATTTTCATGCTTTTCCCACGTGCGCATGTAATGGGGTCTCCTCATGTTCGGTCCTAGACTACAAAAGTTACTAATGGGCATTATAGGTTTTGGGGCTGCGGGAAAAGATGATGTAGAGACGGACAAAGACCACTGGCAACAAGGACCGGTATCGTACGGACATATCTGGCATAAGTGCCGGAAGCTCGTGCCGGCATGGGATGCTGCGAATTCCCCTCAAAACCAATCCATCTCAATGAGGTTACTGTATAGGTTGTGATTCGATTTTGCATTGATGTTGATATCGTCCTCCAAACCGCATCTACATCCTACGCGTTTCCAGACGTCCAGAAATTCGACCCTGGCCCCTACCGGACGAGTGCTCTCACCAAGCAGTGAGCCGGCCTTGCCCGAGTACATGTTGCTCTCAAAGGGGTTGGGCACCATGCCTCCGCCCAGATGAGTTTAAGCGCAAGAGCAACAAAAAAGAGTCCTGAATCATGCGAGTGGCAGAAGGACCCTCTTACTGACAAGAGAGTTCTCGCCATCAATGCAAGAAGAGACAATGCAACAATGCAACTTCGTCTTATGAACTGCTACCACTCAACAGGACGAAAGAAAGAGAAGCAGCCCAGCGAGAAAAGCGGCCCGGCGAGCCAAAAGAATAGCACTTTCCCATTTGCAACATGCAGTTTACGAACTTAAGCGAGCATAACTTAACCGGTGAAATACCTAGAAGAGCATCAACAACACGAATGACACAATAAAGGGCCGCTGTCGCTGAGAAGTATGCTCGTGTTAGTACGAGCAATCTGGGAATCATAAGTCGAGATTACAACCATCCCGACTAGTCACTACCGCTCCTACTGTGGGCGATTTTATCTGCTGCGACTCTTCGCATTTCCATCTGCCTTCCCGAGGCAGCAACATGCCTGCGAGAGACTCCGGAGCGCGTCAAGACTTCTGCACCCCGGGACGCAGCACTACACCAGAAGGATGGGAGGGACATCGCCAACCGACTCGGATGGCAACTTCGCTGCCAGGTGTAAAGCCTTTGCGGCAAAGGCTTTATACCTGGCAGCTAAGTAGCCGTCCGCGTCGGCTGGCCTTTACCCATAACACAGGCAAGGCAGACAGATCGTGAATCTGAAGGCACGAACTTCGGGATATTTTGGGATCCGAAATGGAGCTGCGAAGCATCTGGCAAAAGGACCTACTTTTGTGAGCATGTTTGCGCCTGCGTCTTGAGGAGATGTTGCGCCACCACATGCACTGGAGACATCTGCTGAAACTGCTTTCTGCCTACACTGGCCTCTGGATCTGGCACGATCAACATAGGATTTAGAAGTGGTTGCCGCTTCGCCCGGTATATTTGTGCTCTATCTGCCAAATTGCCATGCACAATGTCGACGTAGAGTCACAACAGCGAACTCGCGAACTCCACCTTTCATTCTTGCCTCTTCCTTCGTTGCGAATCTTATGTCTAGCAGTCCAGCAGTCTGGCCGATCAAAACAAACAGTGGGAAGGTCAAAGGTCCTGCAAAATCAATGGATTGATTAGACTAATGCTTCTGGTAACTTCAACGCCCCCCGCAGACGGGCGACGGATGCCTGCACCCATAATGCCGCCGAATAGTGTCACCTAAGCAGATCTGGAGCTCAAGCATCTGTTTTGGCTACCCGAAACGGCAAAGAAACGACGAACCTCAGACTCCATTTATGTGCCCATGCTTGCCTTAGATGGCCGTCCTGTCAACTTTGTCATATGCCCCAGTCATGAGACCTCACCGGGCCGCCCCGGTGCTCGGCCATGTGCTAACTGTTTATGGTCGTCTCAACCAAGATCCGAACCGAACCAGGATGACCGACGTACCTTGGCTGTTATTGGGGTATCTCGGGACAGGATTGACAAGTGAAAGCCGCAAGAAGCCAGCTGGAATTCGAGAGCAGATTCTAGCGGAGTCAAGCCACTTGATGGTCTGCAGGCCGGTGTTCTGACCCTGGCACATCGGAGGCATGTACATATATGCTGACAGGCTTGTTCTGTATGTATGTATTAATATGCGTCGTTCTTATGCATACAAACATACATACATACAAACATACATACATACATAAATACATACATACATGGTCTCACACACACACCCACCACCCCCCCCCCCATGATCCACCCCAGCCT